TATGGCTCGGGGCATATCTCCCGGGATTTCCCTCATGGTCTGAGAGCAAACGCCTCTCCACGATTGCTTCCCGTGCTAGATAACGTCGCCAACAACATTCAGGAGCTTTCTACCTTCGCTCTTCTCACTATTGAGGTGGGTCTACCATCTTTAGAGGAGCTTAGAGAGATGCTAGGGTATCGCTTCAACATCTGGGATTGGACCTATGAGATCAAGCGGGTATGAGGAGCTTAGAGAGATGCTAGGGTATCGCTTCAACATCTGGGATTGGACCTATGAGATCAAGCGGGTATCTGGAAATAGGTTCATGGTTAAATTCCCGCTTCAACATCTGGGATTGGACCTATGAGATCAAGCGGGTATCTGGAAATAGGTTCATGGTTAAATTCCCTTCTGATGATCTACTAGATCAATCCATCGAGCTCAGTCCTGTAAATTTTGGGTCCTTCATGGGCAGATTCAGGCTTTGGAGGGAAGACCTCAGGCTAAGAACATTGCCTAACCCCATGTTTACAAGGGTCCGCCTCTTCAATCTCCCATACCACCTCTGGGAGTGGGAGTTCCTCCAATCACTATTCGAGGACATCGGCCAATGCGTGTACTGCTCCATTGACGTCACCATGAAAACAAACTTCAAAGACTGCAGGGTGCTGCTAGAGATTAGGGAATATTCGGATATCCTTAAGAGGATTAGGTTTCATTACACCTCTCCCATGGACCTTCGTCTGATGGAAGGTTTCGTCATCACTCAGATTGTAGGTTGGGAGGGTGAGCAGTAGGCAAACAATGACGCTGGTCCCATCGACATGTCTGTTGACCAACCTCAAAGCCAGCGTACGCAGCCTCCACACGCTAACCTAGAATTGATTGAAGTGACTTGGTACGGTAGAAAAATGATGATAGAGAAAGAGCTCAGGCAACGATTTCTCCAGGCCTAAGGTGTTGGGGGGTCTACCCTTCCTCGCAATAGTGGTTTCTCCCATGATTGCGCTTCGAGCAAGGGGAGCGGGGGAGGAGCAATCGGCCCCTAGGTTATCATCAATTGCAATTTCCCTTATGTTTTGCTTAACTTGATGATGATACGCTTTGTTAACAACCTATTAAGTTATGATACACTTTTTGGAATGATTATACCTTTGTTAGCTGTAAATAGCCATGGGTTTGATGTTAGGCTTAGGGGTTGGTTGTTAAGTTTATGTGTTTTTTGTTAACCTCGTGGGTTTGCTATTAAGATTACCCCTTGGTTGTGTGATGTTAGGCCTTGGGCTTACTGTTTTGCGTTGTGTTGTTGAGCTTATGGTTCCTTGATTGTTAGGGTTACGGGGTTGCTGTTCCATTTTAGCCTTTTGGCTTGACGTTTGTTGTTAAGGTTAGTATATTGTTAAGCTTTGGTGTTTGTTGATGAGGTTACGGTTTTGTTGTTAAACTCATGGGTTTGCTGTTAATGTTATCCCTTGGGGGTTTGTTGTTAAGCTTTGGGTTTATTTTGCGTTGTGTTGTTGAACTTATAGTTCTTTGGTTTGTTGTTTGTTAAATTCTTGGGTTTGTGTTTGAGGTTACAGATTGGGTTTTAATTTTAATCTTTGACAACCACGAGCTAAACTTAACAAGCAATCCACAAACTTAACAATATAACGTGAAACATAACAATAAATCGATAAGATTGACAACCAGACTATAACCTTGACAGATAGATCTTAAGCTATCCTTACGATGTTAACCTTTATATTTATAATATTTACATATATATTGTTATTAACAAAGAATTATAATATATCTTTTACAAAAAATCTACATCTCAACATCATCATCGTCAAGTTTTACCACATCTTCTTTCCTCTTCCTGCCTTCAATCAGTAAATACGCTGCTAGCTTCGCACGTACCACCCATGTGTTATGCTCTACGGGCGTGACATGCAGGACATCTCTACCTTCGATAATAGCTTTTATGAACTGGTAGACATAGATCCCACAGTCATACCTACACATAAAAACAATCCTCTATTGAGACCATTGTTGCTTTCAAACAAAACATAACAACAAACTCATATCCTTAACTAAAAACAATCCTCTATTGAGACCATTGTTGCTTTCAAACAAAACATAACAACAAACTCATATCCTTAACAACCAGTTTCCAACATTGAATTCCAACAACAAACTCATATCCTTAACAACCAGTTTCCAACATTGAATTCCAACAAGGGTTCCGAAAAACTTACGATCCCTTTTGCTGCTCGCATGGAACTTTGATTGGGTCGAATACGCTGCACAATTGGTTCTCATCGAAGCGAGCTTTAATGTAGTTGAAGGGTTTCACAATATTGAGCACAGGCTCCCAATATCTAGATCTCTCCTTCAAGGAGTCGTAATGCCTGACAATATCATTTTCGACATCAAACTCTAGTAGATGCCAATGATCCCCTTGGACAATGGGAACTACAAGGTTAGTACACCCGACATCGACCAAGTGTTTGATGTAGATATGATATAGTTCTTGATAATCTGGTATCGCCATATGTATCTGGTGCTGCAATAAAGAATTAACCCAATCAAGCTCCTTTTAACATAGATTATGTGCTGATAGGTAGGAGTACGTCACGCCAGACATAAACTTGCACTAAACCAAACAGGGACCACCCTAAATTTTATACTGGACGATTCACGAACTAAATCAAGCAGCGTATCAACAAGCTATAATAAGTTGACAACAAGTAATTAATAATAGTATTGTTAAATATGCTAATCAATAATTACCAATCGAAAATCTTACTGCATCATCCAATCGCCCACCGCGTAATATATTGAGGATCTCAAGCCGAGTAATAGACCCCGCTGATCCGGTGTACGCTTTAATAAAACTACAAACAGGGACAAAACAAAAATTATTGTTAGAAACTAATAATTAACAGTAAGAACAAACCAGTAAATTTAACAACAGTCCCGTAACTTTAACAATAAATCAATAACCATAACAAAAAAAAACCATAACAATAACAACAAACCCATAACCTTAACATCAAACCCGTAGCCTTAATAACAAACACGTAACCTTAACAACAAATCAATAACTATAACAAAAAACCCGTAACCTAAACAACAAATTGTTAGCCCTTATGTTTTGATGATGTTCTTACAACCACCATTATCGGTACTAATGGCTTATTGAG